TAGAGAGAGTGAGAGAGAGTCAACGACAGAGAGAGACAGAGAGAGTCCGTGTGCGAACTCTTCTGGGGTCGCGGTCAGGCGCTTGCCCGGAGACGAGCTATATCTTCATGGGCGACTTCGTCGACCGCGGCTACAACTCGGTCGAGACGATGACGCTGCTGCTGCTGCTCAAGGCCCGCACACGCACACACACACACACACACACACACACACACACACACACACACACACACACACACACACACACACACGCTCACCCACGCGCACCGGGCCTGCACTTTGCATGCCGTGGGGCTCCTGTCGTCAGACGTGGAGACGCGAGGGAGTAGCCTGGCCCTTGCCCCGCCACCTCGTGTGTGCGGAGAAGTTGACCTTCCCTTACCTTACCTTTCCTCTACCTCTCTCGGGCCGCCGTCAGCCTCAACTCCGCCGCCTCCGCCGCCTCCGCCGCCTCCGCCACCTCGGCCTAGCGCCAGCAGCGCCGCAGCAAGCGCCTGATCTCGTGCAATCTCGATAATTAATTTTTAATCGCCTCTCTCGATCTCAATCCGTGCCTCTCTCGATCAAATATCTCATCACACACCCCTCTTACCTTACCTTACCTTACCTTACCTCAAGGCTCGCTGGCCGCACCGGATCACGCTGCTGCGGGGCAACCACGAGTCGAGGCAGATCACGCAGGTGTACGGCTTCTACGACGAAAAAAGAAAAACCGCGGGTTTGACACGGTTTCTTTCTTTTTCGCAGGTGTACGGCTTCTACGACGAGTGCCAGCGCAAGTACGGAAACACGAACCCTTGGAGGTAAAATTAATTAGTCAATTAACTCAATGAGTACGTTGAATTGATTGATTAAACCCGTGGAGGTCCCGCACGGAGCTCCTTGACCTGAATTAGTTAGTCAATTAACTGAATGAGTACGTTTAATTGATTGATTAAACCCATGGAGGTCCCGCACGGAGCTCCTTGACCTGAATTGAGTAGTCAATCAACTAAATGAGTACGTTTAATTGATTGGTTACGTGGAGGTCCCGCACGGAGCTGCTTGACCTGAATCGAGTAGTCAATCAACTAAATGAGTACGTTTAATTGATTGATTAAAGGTAGCGCACGGAGCTCTCTGACCTGAAATTAGCCAGTGAGTTCATGTCAATTGATTAGCTACGCCCGTGGAGGTACTGCACGGAGCTCTTTGACTGGTGCCCGCTCGCCGCGATCGTCGACGGGCGAGTGCCCTTAAAGTGGACACAGTGGACAGAGTGTAGACACGGGGCAGGGGCACGCACGCGGCAGCACACTCCGCGGCGAGGGGGGGCACGCACGCGGCAGCACACTCCGATGTCCAGCG